GAATGCCTCATGGGATAAGTCTCGTCGAGTCGCTCTCTAAGAGCGACTTTAATTCATTATGTAGTGTATCAGTTAATCTAGTGCGCTGCCATCTCTTGTAGAGACAAATTTATTGTCTGCCTTTGATGGGTAAACATTGCAATCATTCACAGTAACTCTCGGTCGGGCATTTGTTTTGGAAATGTTTTGAAGTAGATACATGAGATCAAGTGGCTAATTGAAAGAGATTTCGCCATACGTTGCCTTAAAGGATACCACAACATTCATGATTAGTATGATAAATGGGAACAAAGAAACGGGATCTATTGCAACTACGAGGAATAAAAACCATAGCGCAAAATTACATTATAAGATATCAAACAATTAAAGAGAGAGAGACAAAAACCATTGTGATTACAGGAATAAATAGATAAAGAATGGTATAAGGTTGAATATGAAAGTTATGAGAATAAAAGTAATTTTGGTCGAATATAATTATTTGAAAAGAAAGGGGATGTCAATTGAGATCATTCAATAAGACTACCTTGACAGTCCTTTATTGAGATTTTTCTAGTCTGGYATATGTATTTGATTCCATACACTTGCACTCACTCGTGTAAAGAAGTCGTTTTGTACGTTTGAAAGTAAATAGTTATTACTTCATTTGACAAATCAATAGGGCAAAAGCTTTTCATATGGTCGGACAGTTTGTTCGATGAAAATCCAAAACAATACTTACGCGGCTCCGCAGTTTTTCAAAGAGTTGAAACCACTGAACACGCCGCTTAATTTCTCAATTGATACGGAAATTAAATGATATCGTTTTACGATGCCAATATTCACGAAAGGTTTTCATGCAAGGTTTTCTGTCTTAGGTAATTTTGATCGACGTATTTCCATTCTTCAAGCTATAGGGAACATACCAATAGCCTTAATCGAGATTACATCAGATTACATCGATTCTTAACATCAATCAACTTACCAAATGCGCAGCAAGTATAAACAGCTAAAAACCAAACAAGAATAACGTTAACTCGAAGTTTTTCCATTCCTTAAAGTCCAACAATTTGGAATTCACTGCTTCGTTTGCTAAAGCAAACTACAGTCTTTGATGTTCTCTCAGCTTATGTTGTGTGTTTTCGAAATGTATATGATAAACGATGAAGTTTCAGTGCATCGAAGCTGATGCCTCATTAGACTGACTGACTGACCGGGGGTACCCACAGTGGTAATGGTATTCGATAGACGTCACACTAGTGTACTTCTACTGGACAATTTTGAGTATTTTGCGTTTGGAAAATGACCTCAAAATTCCCAAGAAACGCCCCAAAGAGCATTTTGTGAAGATATGATAATCTAAGATTAATTTAATTAGTCATATTTTTCAGGGTTTGGATTCTAATATAGGTTAAAATGAAACGTTCGCATTGCCGATCTTTCGGTTCATTGGCTTCCTTAAACGGAAGGTTTTAAAGGCATGCTATCACCCAAGAACCTCTGCGATCACTTCGTCTGTTTTACAAATGATTTCTCGTTGGAAGGTGCTTTCCGATTCGGGCAAAATCAAAGATGCTGAGCTTTTCTATGTGATTAAATCACGATAAGGTCTTTGCATGCATATCGCCTTTAACACTTTCGTGCCAGCTTTCGAATTCGAGCTACATGAAATAATGACAACTTGTGACAGTCAGACAATTTGTGGTCGAAAGTTCACCTAGTCAATCAGACGATCAAAAACTTTTAACTAAAACATCAATAAAATAAAAAAGCAGACGAAATTAACGGTATGAATTAAAAAGTTTAATGACCATTTAATAACCCTGCATATACTAGATATTAACACGTAATATGGCCCGGGAAGGGCTGCCTCGAGACTACTTTTAACCGCACATTCTGTAAAAATATGATAATTGATAATCATATCTTTTAGGGTTTGAATTGTAAGCATGAGGTTAAAATGAAATGTTCTTCGCACTGCTGATGTTTCGGTTCATGGGCTATTTTTCCTTTTTTCTTTTCTCATCGAAGAGTCGGCCGTTATGTTTTCCTTGAGCTCAGCAGCTTTCTATTCACATTATATCATTAGGAGTCGAGTTATAACTGCGCGCCAAACGTGGTCCAAATATCATGGCATATATGCGCACAATATTTTTCTGAAAACAAAATAAAATTTCTAATCGTGTTACTGATATTTGTACGTTAAATGACGCATCAACAGTCGTTATACTGACCGTTTTTTATGTTATCTATCAAGCTGGTATACTGTAACGGCACTGAATTGTTTTAGACATTTATTGGGAACCCACCTGACACCCCCCTGGATTTGCCCCTGATAGAAAGTACTATTCATTATATACTGTTTGTCTTTGAACTACATAGAGCTATCTTGAGTTTGTTCAACTGACCCTCATGACTGGGACCTGTATGGTGGCCTAGGAGTGCCATAGCAAAATTTCCTTTGTTTCATTTCGAATTTAATTTTTATTGTTTATTTATTTTGATTTTTTAATTTTTAATTTTAAGTTTTAATTTTACTAAAATGAATCATTTTAATTACATTTTGTTTTTAGTTTAATATACTTTTACTTTTAATTCACTTAGAGTTTCAGTTTAGTTTTATAGACCTTTACTAATGGGACACCTTCAGTGCAACAGGCTTATAGGTCCTATTTTGTAATACGGCCGCCATCTTGAATTTTGAAGAAATGATTGGGTGTCCAGGGGACAAAAGGACACTTTGTCATATAGAATGATACCGAAAATTTCTTTCACTGATAATTTTGGGCTTCAATAGCATAAATTAATTCTTCAAAACATTCAAATGTGTTGTCTTTTTTTATTGATTTTCCCGTTTTAAGATATATTCAATCTCATTGCATTTTAAAAGGCCTTCAGTCTATAAATTTCTTGTTTGCTTCCGGTTTAAGCATCCTATAGTTTCTTACTGAATCAATATTCAAAACAATAGAATTCAAGATGGCGGCCGTCTTAGTGAAAATTACTATTTTATCTCTTTGGGAAAAAATTGCTATATATATAAATCTCTACTGCTTTTTTTAGTTTTTTGACATCGTAGCGTGTTCGTTTAGAATTTTTAGTGGAGAATTTTGTTGCTTTTATTTGTTGTTTCTTGATGACTCTGAGGATCAATCAGATTCAGATCAATCAGATTGGTCTTTCGTATATTGGCTCTTCCATGTGGGACAAAGTAGATTTTCCCTGTAAAAAGTAGAGGAAACAAATTTAAATCAAAGACCTTGAAGAATAAAACTCACCAATTTTTGTTATTAGTTTTTATATCCCTATTTTAAATACAAAGATTAATAATAGACTAATTTATAATAGACTCTTATAACTCCCCATTCTCTTTACTGCTTAACCATTATAATTTAATTGTTCATCATGATATGCCAAAATCGCAGTTTCGATTAAAATTAATAACGGGATTATGAATTAATTATCTCTAAGCCGAAGGCAAAGTATTTCAATTCCAATAATTGTTTAACCTACAGAAATTGGGATCTTAAACTGCACTGGACCCAAAAACCACTCACCGGTCTAACGATGACATTAGAGATTTGGTAGGTGGATTCTTCACCAAAGCCTCCACGGGATCTATTCTGAGGAACGAGAGACTGATAATGAGAATCATTACCAGCCAAGCTGACTGCATCTGTGAAGGTAAGATGATTTATACAATCAAGAGAGGGGTATGGCTCGCCATGTGCACCCATGAATCTTTGCGGTCGTTTTTTGGTTTTACAAATGACCCCTTGTTGAGAGGTGCTTTCTAATTGGTTTAAAATTAAAGATGGTGTAAGCAAGAAAATCACTCTAAGGTTCTTGGTCGTTATTGGATGTACGAGGGTCTTTAAAGTTCTTATCCCATTAGACTCGAAAAACTGCTTATAAACGTTTCTTGAAGCTTCGAGTAATATAGATGTATTTAAGTAGCCCCTTGCAACGTTTAGCATTGTGGAAAGGTTATTGTGTCGGAGCGCCTTGTTCTGAAACGCAATGCATTCTTGGGAATTTGTTTGTCTCCGTTCACGTAATCTGGATTGCAATCGAGTTCAATGTGCGTGCGTTTGAGACCAAAATATCGTTGTCGAATAAGCGAAAACTGACATTGAAACATGTTGGCTGCGGATCAAAAGTGAATAATTGTAGTCTGGGCGTGAGCAAACACCTAAAAGAAACGCGACGCATTTCTCAATCGAAATAATTGTAAAGATGAAGTAAAGGAGTCCTAAAACTCAAGCGTCATGTTTTACAATAAGCAACAACCTAAAAAGTTGAATAATACTTACTTTTTTTACTCTGCTTTGGCGGATAACTCCGGTTTTGTTGGTCAGAGGTTTCTCGTGTATTGACATGTGCGGCCGCTAAATCTGTTTTTATGAAAGAGTAATTCAATTTTCTTGGCATATGTACGAGAGGTCGTAGATATAGGTCTGTGTGTATAAGAGGTATGGTTTTCAAAGACATGACACCTAATATGGCGTGTTTCTAACACCATCATTCACTTTTCTGAGAGTCTACACTTTTGCAGCGTTGCTTCCTTGTCCTTAACTCACTTTACATCGCTAAGAAAACGCATCGGAGCTGGCAGAGACTCCATCTTATTATTTTAGTCCGGGAGCCAGGACCCTGAAAAAAATCGTGACGTAGCACACCCCTCACATATTTGGTCGGATACCATAAATCAAAAATAGGGTCCTCACTTCACGTCGCTAAGAAAACGCATCGGATATGGCAGAGACTGAATCTTATTATTTGACAGTTTATGTAATAGCCAATTTGCATTATGGCGTCATTTACTATAACTACCAGAATGCTTTGCCAAGGGGATTAAAAACCTGAATAACAATGAAAATGCGCAAGGCTCTCTGGTAGTTGTAGTACAGTTACGCCATAATGCCAATGGCCAATGTCCTGAGTACCTGAGATCTCGATCTGCGGATTGTCATCCCTTTTCCTTTCTTTCTTTCTCCTCTTCGTCACATGATACACAATGTGACCAATCAGAGCGACGATGGACATCACCAAAAGGACGGCTAAACCAATCACCAATGGATCATTGGAATTCTTATCAGAATGTCCTGAAGAATTTATAAATGAAAAAAAAACTGAATGTAATGAAATGACAAACGGTATCATCTTTAGAAAAGTTGTCCCTTCTCGTCATCAAGTTCATCTTCTGGTAGAACGAACAATCCATCGATAATAAATGTTTGTGGTTTCCAGTGAGTATTTTACCTTGTGTATAGCCGTGAGCACCAGATTTCGTTGTAAAAGATACGAACGGCGCGTCGCTGATAACTCTTTTCTAAAAGAATAAAAATTAAGAAGCGTTTCGCTCACCAAAAGCCATGAGCTAAACGACACAGTCCTTTGCACAAACCGGCAAGCAAAAGCAAGCAAATAAGCAAAAATGTCAAGAGGTCTGTAAGCAGACATTCAAGAAACTATGCAAAAGAATATATCATTACATAGATATCACCGAATGTATCCTTAACCGTGATTATTATTACCTCATTCGATGTCATGGTGACGACTCTCACGTAAACTCTATAGTTACATCCGGGTTCTAATGGTGTGTTATTGTAACCATGGTAATTCAGACCATCACCGATGGTGAAAGTAGAACTGTTTGTTGGTATCTCAGCAGCGATGTAAGAATGGTTCACTCCCATGTCTTTGGACGTGAAGACTTCTTCGTCTGTCTTATCGACGGTAACCTGATACCAACTGAAAAGTAAATACAAAAATTATGTTTGTGTTTGAAAGTAGTTTACACTTGATAATAAGAATTACGCCTACCGGTTATGAGATATTGGCTTCCTCTGCTTTTTGCGAAGAAAGGTGATTTTTGCGGATTTCTGTTGGATGGATCTGCTGTCGCTTATTTGAAATTCTGGAGCATTTTCCGCTGAAAATGAAGTTGTTGCAAACCTCACAAAGCTTGATTTTCCAAAAATCTTTTTCTGAAAACAAAAACAAAATTAATTCTAATCGTCTTTCAGCAAGCAAATGAGCAAAAGTGTCAAGAGGTCTGTAAGCAAACATTCAAGAAACTATGCAAAAGAATATATCATTACATAGATATCACCAAATGTATCCTTAACCGTGATTATTATTACCTCATTCGATGTCATGGTGACGACTCTCACGTAAACTTTATAGTTACATCCGGGTTCTAATGGTGTGTTATTGTAACCATGGTAATTCAGACCATCACCGATAGTGAACGTAGAACTGTTTGTTGGTATCTCAGCAGCGATGTAAGAATGGTTTACTCTCATGTCTTTAGCAATGGATAGGAACACGTCTATGCCTGTCCTTTCGACCACAACTTGATACAAACTGAAAAGTAAATACAAAGATACATATCACGTTTGCGTTTTTATAATAATTTATACTTGACAATAATTACGTCTACCGTTTATAAACTTTTGCTTTCCTCTGCTGTTTGCGAAGAAAGGTGATTTTTGCGGATTTCTGTCGGATGGATCTGCTGTCGCTTATTTGAAATTCTGGAGGATTTTCCACTGGAACTGAAGTAGTTGCAAACCTCACAAAGCTTGATTTTCCAAAAATCTTTTTCTGAAAACAAAAACAAAATTAATTCTAATCGTCTTTCTGGTATTTATTGTACGTCCATAATAATGAAGGGGCATATAGAGACGTGTGCAGGGAGTGCTTCCAGGTCCTTGAGATAAGACGTTTTTGAAATATGAGACTATTTTTGACAAATCGATAGGGTAAGCATTGTTTGAAACTGCAACAGATTTTTTTTTGTGTGTCAATCCAAAAGAGTATCCGCGTAATTTTGAGGTCAATCGCAGGAACCACGAAGATCCTGTACTCGCCCCTGAACATAGTCGACAGGTAGAGGTGGACGTCTAACTATTTACAGATTATACTAAACATCAAAGAGAGTTGAGAATTTTCGATGTTGCTAATTACCCCATCCATTGCCATGGTAACGATCCTCACGTGAACCCTATACACACATCCGGGTTCTAATGGTACATTATGGTAACCATGGTAATAGAGGCCATCACCGATGGTGAAACTAGTAGCATCATTTGGATTGGCAGGCACCTCTGCAGCGATGTAAAAATCACTAAACATTGCCTTGGTGATTGCAGAGTATGTCTCCGTGGATCTATTGCTGTGTGAAGTGATAGGGGAAGGTATTTCACGACCCTTTTCAACCATAAATTGATACGAGCTGAAAAAAAAATGAATACAAGGGATAACAAGGATATTGAAAACTGTTTTCTGTCAAAACAGACAGTTTTTTTACCTTTTCAATCGTTCGTCCAATGGCGTAGCAGCTTTGGCAAGGTTTATAATCACTGCAGAATCTGTGATGTCGTTACTTGAGCTGATTTGAAAGTGAGGAGCATCCGCTTTCCAAAGGATTGCAATTGAATAATAAAAACGTTTACCAAATTTAATAATCATGACTTAAGCGTAATAGATGCTGGATAACGAAGCTACATAATTTGAAATATATTGAAACAGTCGGTCCCGGTTTCAATACTTTACCTAGGTTGCACGTGACGGCAGCGTCCTGGTCATGGGTACAATTGCTTGTCTTCCACCAACCTGAATGACTACAGTCAACAATTGAATCTTCTGCTCCACTGCATTCAAGGTCACTGAGCCAAATGGTACCATTTCCAGGAATCGTGAACACGTGACTTACACCAACATAACCAAGCATGCGGCAGATGACTTTGGAATCGTTCGCATCCATTCCTTTGTTACATAGAGTGCCCCATGTGTTACCATAGCGAATACCAACTCGACCAGAATGTGGTGTGGTACTGTTTTCTAAAAGGATTTCTAAAGCTGTTTTTCCTGGAAAAAAGGATGGAGTGGTATACTGACTTGACGAAGGCACGCTGTTGCTATCAGCGGTGCTGCTAGATGGGGTACTTGTCTATTAGAAGTTGGCTTTCAACATTTAATCCTATGCACTGTAAGGATCTTACTAAGGTACAATTCATCCTAGTTGAGGATGTAGCCTTGATCTATGCAGAGGGAGAAAAAACTGCCATGTTTGAAGAGAAATCCTAAGATTTTGATAGACTTTCTAACGTACCTGGTGTCTTGCACGTGATTACAGCGTCAAAGTCACAAGTCGTCTGCCACCATCCTGTACGACTGCATTTCAGTATTGAAGCTTCTGTTCCATTACACTCAACACCACTAAGCCAGACACGACCATTAGCAGAGCTTGGTGCCCTCACAGCGTAAACATGATTGACATCCTCATATCCAAGCATTCGACATATCACCTTCACATCAGGGTAGTCCAGTCCCTCGTAACATAAAGTACTCCATGAATTACCATAGCGAACACCAACTCGACCAGAGTGGGACGTGGTGCCCTTTTCCAGACGTATCTGTAATGTCACGGGATCTGCAAGCATGGAAGAAAATGTGCCGTGAGATTCAGTGAGTGAAACTACTTTTTCGATAGAGAGAATTGTTTTTCCTTTAAGAAGAAAATACACCTAGTTCCAAAATAGGTGTCATTGAGAAATGCACTAGAACATTTATCCTTTAATGAAGTGGAGCTTAAAGCTATCAGTTTTTGCTGTTTCTTAAAGTGGACTGAGATCTTCAATCTCCTCGGCTGTGTCCATGTTCTTGCAATGGTCTCCTTCACAATTCCATGCGACCTTTTGAAAGGTAGCCATCGGAGTGAGACGACCGTTGAGCGTGCAATGATAGATACCTGTGAATAATTGTCTGTAGGAGTGAAAGGAGGTTTCTATCATTGCACACTCAACAGTCGTCTCACTCCGATACAAAAGCACGCTTACTTTTCAAGATGGCGCAGAGAGACGTGAAAGAAAACTGTTAGGTTACATTTATTACCTTGATCACTGGCACACCGAACTCCAACGTCATATGAATGATGACTTGAGGCGTCGAAATAAGTGTTGGGATAATATTCACAGTACTCGAGTGATCTTTCGTTGCCTGTGCAGTGTTTGTATGCTGTCATTATGAAACCATTTCCTAACACTTTGGCTCGTCCAGTCCAAGATGCATTACGGTATCCCAACATACGACAAGCTATGTTAGCAGCTCTCAAGTTCCATCGTTTGTACCTGTCACTAACAGTGCCCCAGGCTGCAGAATAGCCAATCTCCACACGGCCTTCGTTTAAGGAAACGCCATCCATCAAACGAGCAGTAAATCTAGACTCTTGTTGAAGAGAATAATGTTAGTCGAGAAATTCTACTGTAAGAAAGTTAGTACGGCGTGGTTTGGTAGATACTAAAGTAAGTACGGTCTCATTGATTATCAACTCACTCGACCTCGCGGTCAGATAACTATTAGCTATTCATATTGATAAGTCATGGTTTTGTAAACAATCCCCCGGCACCGTACAGATTTGGTCTGAAGATGAGATGGGATGGGAAGGAAAGGGAGGCGATGAGATCAAGGTGGTAGGAAAAATACTTGATATTGGAGATCTATTTTCGAGACCTCCAATAGATATAGTAGGGGTGCATGGGCTTGGAGTGAAGGAGGTAGGAAAATAGTTGATAATGCACTCAACGGGTGTGGTTGTGGCGAAATAAGGGACCGGTTGTTCTAAGAGTTCTAAGTTCTTCACTTCTTAGATTTTTTTACGGGAATTTTTTACGGGATTATCCACTGGATAAGGATTTATTGGTTGGATAGCGCTATTCACCGTCGTACAAACGACCCAGTATGTTTCATCACTACCAAACGAATTATTTCACTAACAGTTTGCTCGTGGAGGAGGCGGTAACATACCTGCATGTGGTTGGCAAACTATCCAGGTATTCTGGCCTTGTTTATTGTCAGAAATAGACACATAGAACCCACGACACTGTTCTGTTCTTTTTTCAAATCCCTGGCAATGTATCCAGACATGATAGCTGGTGGTTCTGCCATCTTTAAACGTGTTGAATGTAATAGTGTGATTATACCCCATCATGCGGCAAACTGTATGAACGTCATTTAACCGAAGCTCTTGCCGACCAAAATATTTCATAAGAAATACTGGTCTCCATAACCCATAGTAGCGCATTTCCAGTCTTCCTGCATGAGGTACTGATCCATTAACGAGGCGAAATGTAACATTCGGTGATCCTTAATAAATGTTAATTAATAGAATAAAGGTCGTTTAAAATGAACATAAAAACACAGACTGTTCT